AAAAAAGAAGAAGAAAAAACGGTGCGCCGGTTTGGGGGGATCCCCTAAAAAAAACACACACCCATGTCCTTTTCTGGGGAAAAAAAAAACAAGCCTTGGTTTTGCAGCTTTTGGAGTTGTTATGCATGCTGCCATTTACAGGTGACTTGAGTTGGAGGATAGCTGAAGGTGAGCCTCCAATCACTGTTACCACCTCGAAACAACGACTCGGGGTTTATCCGACAAATGCCTTCAATACAACTAAACGAGAAAAGTTGATGATGTTCACAATTAGGCATCAATCACACTACAAATATATCAATCACATTCACGATGAATTCGAGGAAGCCGCAAGTTATTGCCCTCGTGCATCCGCGCATCCCAGACCAGACTTGAGGGAAGCGCCCTCACCTTGTGTCAGCAGCGTCCCTTACCATGGCTTTGCGCGACGAACAACTACCAGAAAGAGAATCAACATGCCGTGCCAAAGCGTCCAAGTGTGTCTATGCAAGAATATCCTCTCTTGGCCCTCTTTGTTTGAGTTCCCTGTTGATTGCCCGCAAAAGCAAATCAAGCTACATGTGTCTATCTTTTGCAATCAACTTAAGTTGGGCTGTGGATGCTTCACGTGCCCGCATTGCGGCCCGCAATGCATGGAATCAAAGCATTGCAAATGACATCACGATGAACATGCCCAACCGTGCTTTGCCAGGCCTTTGGTTCTATCAGGGGTTGCCAACCACAGGCTGGTTTTGCGTAAGCTATCTTGGTTTACTTCGATGAGCTCACTGTCAAAATCTGTGCCAACGGGTTGGGGCATTGGCTACTAGTTGTTCGATGGGACTCAAGTGGCTGTGGCTCCCAGCAGAACACAGTCAACATCTCCGGGGACGGCGACCCTTGGTTCTATCAGGGGTTGCCAACCACAGGCTGGTTTTGCGTAAGCTATCTTGGTTTACTTCGATGAGCTCACTGTCAAAATCTGTGCCAACGGGTTGGGGCATTGGCTACTAGCTGTTCGATGGGACTCAAGTGGCTGTGGCTCCCTGCAGAACACAGTCAACATCTCCGGGGCCAGCGACCGTTTCGAGCCTCCGATGTCACCATCCTCGCATTCCATCTCCTCAAGGCCTGAGGCGATGCTACCAATTGCCAAAATCAACGTGGAAATCAAATGGTTGCATCCCAAAAATGGTTAGGTACGACTGAGTCATGTCATATTGCCAACAAATGCATCCCAAAACTGGTTCGGTACGACTGAGTCATGTCATGTTGCCAACAGAAGAAGCGGCTGGTGGTTTCCTTTCGGAGCGAAACAAGGGTTCTCTGCTTCTGGCTGCCACGTGGAGGCTTTTTTTGCGACGGCTTTCAGCCAACGACAAAAGTCGCGCACAAAGGAAAGTGACTTGCCACCTTTGCAACGACATCGTTTTGATCGCACTGAACTCTGACCAGAACTGCCTGTGAGCGTCAAAGCGGCAGATATTACTACTTGGACAAGCGAACAATCGGGGATACGGAGGGAGCGGGGATATGGGGGGATTCCGTTGACGCCATTTCCCATATCAAACTTAGTCAAGGTGCATTTAGAGGGAATCCTCTCGTATCCCTGGTTTCCCCTGTATCCCTGCTAGTTGGTTTCCCTGAAATACTACTCAAGGCCATGTCAACTCATCAGCTCTACTTCAAGAGTCGCTGCAGCCAGGCGGCCATAACATCACCCCTAACTCGGAAACCGTTGGGGGTGGGGGGAGGTTTCTCCGTGCATGATTGTCCTTGTTGCCACAAAGAGCACATGAGAGGAAACATTGATTGAGAGGAAGCGCCCCCTTCCAGATATTTATTTCTTTCGGGATGGGGATGCCACAAGCCTTGCCCGTTGCTTGAATCGGGCATGCCTCCTCTTAGCTGATCTAAAGGTATCTGTTTTAAAATGGCGGTCCATCAATTGAATCCAGGAAACCTTCTTGGGGAACCCTTCTTAGGTTCCATGTTAATTTGCACAGAAGCCTACTAACATGAGGGCTGCACCATTTCACCGAATGGACCTCCAAGGGAGGCTAACAGTGGCTAGCCCTGAAGCCCAAGATGCGCCAGCTCAGGGCATGAATACCAATGCAGAACCAATCGAATAAAAATAAACATAAAACAATGCACAGGAAGGTATGTCATGTCCGTAACGTAACGGTTCCCTTCACACTTTGGTCCATAGTCCGGTTGAACCCGAAAGGTAGACACAGATTTGCATATCGGAGTTGGCGTGGTGAAACAACCAAAGAAAAGGAGACAAGCCATCAGTTCCCACTGGCGGTTTGGAGTGGTTTGGTGATTCGGAGTGGAGAACCCCATTTACCCTCAAGAACAAGGGGGCTCAAACTCCAACCAATCCAAACCACCAACCAGAACCTGAAACCAACCAGCCAGCCAACCGTCCAACCAACCAAACAAGACAACTGGGTGCTTCGATGGCCGCTGGGGAAGGCCATAGCAACCTCCAACAACCTCGCGCAAAGCTAAGCCTCCTGCAGTCGGGGTTCTCAATGGGCGTCTCAGCGAAAGCCTCGGAAGCTGCTACATCTGTGATCCCAAACTCGGCATAAGAACATCCTAGTCCGCCTCGGCAGTCGCCTACCCGCCAATGCCAAGAAGTCAAGCGAAGCCGAGATGAAACGCGCCAACAAGTGCGGCAATCAAGTGTGAGAAGGCAGCTGGAATGCACCACCAGGTACAAAGCTCATGCAACAGCCAAACAAACACCACCTGATTTGCCCTTGATGGCAAAGCAAGGCAAATGAGGGAAACAAGCAAGCAGTCAAAACAGTGTGCTCTTGACAGCCAAGGAGCAATCAAAGATTGCCGAAACACAGAAGCAATCTGCCATGAAGCACCACAGAAAATCACGGCCAACTGCTATACCCGCGTCATGCTTTGCCCAGAAGGATCAAATGCCAGTCTTGCGTATGTCGACGCCAGCATCAACAAAGAACAATGGCCAGTCTCTCGCACATGCAGCTATGCGGCCACCTATAGGAAACCATCAACTTGCAAAACTACAGCATTCTGGAGTGGTCCCGTGGGACAAAGTCCACGTTTGGGCCACGCTTTCAGCCTTCAGCTTGGTTTGCTACCATCAAACGTGCTCAACAGCTCTCGATTGGTTGATGATGTCTTTTACATATTTCTTCGACACACAAAACGCTTGAGTAAACGTTACCCGTTACCATGTGCGATGCAGTGCCAACATGAGTGCACGCGAGTGTGTTTCATCAACGATTTGTCTGACCGAGGAGATGCGCTGCATGCCACAAAACGGAATGCCAACGCGACGATAGTATGCACCATGCATTGCCATGCATTGCCATGCATTGCCATGCATTGCCATGCATTGCATCAAATGGGCAAGGAGGCTCTATGGCACCCCACGGGTCATTCACAGAACTCCCTAAAGTGCTGGGTTGCTAGAGGTCGCCCAAGAAATATGAGGTGTGCAATGGAATTCCCAGCGCAATCGCCAAATAACAGGGTTTGCCATGCTCAAACGAAACAGGTCCTTGCCTCAAAGTGTCAATGTGCTCTGAATACATGTCACAAATCATTTGATGGACAACCTGCTGAACAATGCATTGCAAACTGCAGCAGCGCACAAATACGTGAAACACACAACTCGGGCACAATGAAGTCAGGCATTCCCCGGGCCCGGCACCTAGCACGAGTGCTCTGAGCCCAGCGACCCAGCCACCGTTTTGCTTCAGAAGCTGGTCCTGAGCCGGCGAGGTGGACTTTGTTTTTGTGGCCAAGGCGAAATCTCCGAGAAAATAAAAATAAGCTCGTGGAACCCTGGTGGAACCTTACCTCAGGGCCGCCCCGGACCACCCCAGAGCCTATCTGGGGCTGAGACCCCAAAGCTTTCAGCTGTTGGGGAAAAATAGAAATTGAATATGTAAGCATACCCAAGCTCGTCTCCCAATGGAACCGCTCACCTCCCCACCCCGCTCCCAACAAAATACATAAATAAATGGTAGTGCCCTTCGGCTTCCTGTAAACGCAACCTGTGCTTTTCTTGATTAGCTCCCCCCCCCCCCGCCCCCCGCAAAATAAATAGAACATAGCAACGTGGCTATTGCGTCAACGAGGACACATGCAGCTGGTTTGCCTCAACTCGCTTTGACATCTTTGGCATGGACCAACTTGCAATGAGAACACACCTGGGCATTGGGACATGCTGCTTGAACAGGCCATTGTGAGCTGACAACAGACGCACAATAGTGGCCAAACGCGGTGTCGCATCAAGAATGCTTGAAACAGGCCTTGCTTATGGCTCGCCCCACCCCCACCCCCCAACATGCAAATGGAGAAATCTCCGCGAACACGCTCTTGAAGCTTCAAAGCAAGTACTCACCCCCGACATGCAAATGGATCAATCTCTGCGAGCACATTCTTCAAGCTAAACCTTCAAACCATGGGTGTCTGTTTTTTTTAGGGGACCCCGAAAACTGATGCGTGTTCCTTTTGGTTTTCCTTCAAACCAAGCCAAAAGGGTACCCCAAAAAGAGACGAGCCGCTCTCTAGCGGAGTGCCATCCGTCCAACATGCCCAGCTGAGTCCCCAGCACCGCGGCGCAGGCAGAGCTCTGGCCGCCCACGCACCTGAGGGCTGGCCCGTGTTCAGATCCACTGACCAACTTCTGGGTGAAATGGGAAACCACACCAACTAACAACACCAAATTGAAACCACCAAACCAACTAACTTAACAAAAATCAAAGGAACCGTTTTGGCAGCTCTGATATAGCCATTGGGAGAATTACCCGGCAGGAGCCCATGGCTTTCACGGGAAACCACCTCAACAACTCCCGAAATGAGATGCCGTGGGATGGGTAGACTTGGTGCTGGAATGATGCCCGCCAACGATGCCCTGTTGCTCGTTGACACAGAAAGCTTATGAACTTATGGTCCTACGAACACAGATGTGAGTTCTCAACTTCGTCTTGGAGGAGCTCCATGGGAAGTGTGCCATCCAGTCGTCAGGACTGCCAAGCTGCCGTCTGCCAGGTGTTCCATCGATCCAAGGGCGAGTGGGGCTCGATGCCCAGAATGATCCGCCGGCCTTCGCAACCGACGTTGCTCACCCCGAAGGCTGGTAGAACCCTTAGGGGTTCGAAGGGTTCTGAGAACCTTTGCTTACCCCTTAAGGTATCCAAGCCCTGGGGAAGTTGTCATCTTTTAAAGATAGCCCATGTTACCCGAAAAGTTGAAGAGTTGCGTTTTTAAGAGGTAAGTTTGTGGTGGAAGTCCTTATCCTCTGCTACCGGACATTGAAAACCTGAAGACCTTTTTGTCTTCCGAGCCACTTGCAAACCGATACCGCACCTTCTTTCTTGGTTCCCCGGGCCCCACGGGGCTGTACAATACATGCAACTCATGCACAGTAGCTGCACTCCTTTCTTGTTTTACGGTATCGGGTGGCGCAGCTGATTCCAGTATGGCTTTCCTGCGGTCGGCTGGGCAAAAACAGCCCAGCCTTTTGCCGAACGGCTTTTCTACAACCTGCGCATGTAACCAGGCATTGCCCGTTTTTGGTGTCCAGAAATGCTGCTTTCTCCTTGAGCCCTCAGAACGCGCTCCCTCCATTTCCCTACAAGACACCCTGATGAACAGTCCAGGGCACGACGGCGCACTTCTTCGGTCTTTCCAGCTCTTTGTTTTCTCTTGACAAGACCCATATTTCAGAACACCTGCCAGGTCCATTGCGCTTCTATCAACTCGCTTATTTGGCTGTGGGGCAAAAGCAGGTAACCAAAATGGAGCCCTGGTAGATGGAAACATGGACTGAAACCTGCGGTCTCCTGGTGGTTTAATTTTGACCCATGCCCCATATCGAACAAATGAGGCAATTATGTAAGCCATCAGGGAACATGGGCTTCTCAAAGGTCCATTGCGCTATCAACTTGCCCATTTCTCCCTTTGCATTCACCGCTCCTGTGGAGACGAGCTGTTGCTTGTCGAACTCCGCGCCCCACTCGAAGTGGAAGCTGGGGCGGGAGAGGATGACGCTGAAGACCAGCAGCGCCTCAGGAGTCGAGTCAAAACCATGCACAATTACATATGTATAGTATGTGTATGATATATATATATATACATCAACATTGCCAAGGTGTATGTCTGTATAAGTGCAGACATACTTTTCGATTTATGTATATATATATATACATATGGCCACACACACACACACCATGATCTACCTTCCCTTTGCAAACATATATATATATACACATGTATACACAATATGTATACATTCTAGACGTACATAGATGCCTGGTCAACCAATTGTATCAGGGCATCCCTGCTGTCGGGAACTCCAGTCCAAGGTTGGCGCCGTCTCGCCAGGCTTCTCCGCGTGCTTGGAGCTCATTTTTGAAGTGGCCGTGTCGCCGAGCTGGAAGTCTGCGTGGCACTGGACATCGGTACACCATGGAACCTCTTGGCCTTCCAAAGGGGAAAAGGGCGGGGAGTATGAATAGAAAATAGGAGATGGGAGAGCAGGGGTTTAGATTGTATGTCAAAAAAGGCATCTCGAATTGAGGAACACGAGTTCAATCCAGTGTCATTGCATGCATCATTTCCAAAGGGAACTCCACAGTCCGGACAAAGTGGGTATGGCTCTGTCTTTTTGTGAGGCTATCCCCTTTTTGGTGGTTTTCAAGGGAATGAACAGGAAACCAACGCCATTTGGTGGGCGGCAGCGTGCCTACAACAAACCGCACCCAGCATCATCCGGATCCACTCCGATCCGACCCAACGACGTGACCGGCCTGCGCGGCGCCGGGCTTTGGCCGTCTCCATGGTGCCCCAGCGCAGCATCCGTGGGAGGCTCTGGCTCCTGGCCCACGGGCCATGCCCGGAGTTGGGGCTGGGTGTGCGGGGGGGGGGGGGTTCCGCCCGCCGGTTCATGGGTGAAGGGCGCCAAAGGGTGCCGATGGCAACTGGTTTCCATGGCGCATCGGGCTCCGGGAAAAGGAGGAGGCGGGGGGGGGGGGGGTTCGGCACAAAAGGGCCACTTGCGGACTGGTGCCAACTCATACATCGGGTGTCTTTCTAGTAATGGCACTTTGAGGCACATGGTTTTCTCCCTTGAAAGAATGTAGTGCTGCAACCCATGACCATGGTACCAAAACTCAACTATGCTGTTTGCTGCAGACTTTCATTGGTTTCTAAACCCGAACATTCAATTGTGGAAAGCTAGCAGTGGGTTCGATGATGTAATACCAGCAGCAGTGGCGTTGCTGGCCACAAACTTGCATCAATATGCCTCAATCTGGATCGAGGCCTTGTTTGAGGGGAGGAAAACTGGCTCTCTGAACTGGAATGAGCTGTCCAGGTCCTGAGAATAAGGAACATGCCTGGCATGCTCAAGGTTTGCCGATCCATGGTTCAGCCAAAAGAATGGAGGCGACAGGTGTGTCATGCTGTCATGCTTCAGGTGTGATGTGGTTGCCTTGCTCTCAACTTGTGAGCTAAAAGCTGCTAGTAGGGCACAGGACGCTTGTTCGTCTGGGTGCTCCAGTAGAGAGGTTAGAATAGGGGTACCCTTTCTTCTGTAGTCTAGATTAGTAGGGGAACCCTCCCCCAAATAAGGGTAAAAGGGCACTACTGGGGGACCCAGTCGTGATGGGACATGGGCATTCATGCGATGGATGCGGCTTGCTTGTGCGGCAGATCGCTTTCGGGTGCTTTCTGGGGTGGAGTGCCTAATCCTTTCCTTAGGAATCGTCCTGCAAGCAAACCAAATACGGCGAGCAAATCTCAACAGGGCCAACCGTTGCACCAGGGCCGTCTCTGGATTGTGTCTTGCCTGAACAAGTTAAATCGGTCAAAGATCAACTACCAATACGGTCGATTGCAAAGAACCCTTGTTCCCTCACACTGGTCACAGATTTCCCCTTCGATTGATGGACGGGTTTCCACGAAACTCCCACTTTTGGTCCATTTCGAGACAACTAACTATCTCCCCGACGAACTTGAAGGTTACCCTCCCGTCACCAACTGTGGAAGCTGAGACACACGGATGTTGGAAGACTTCTTTCCTTTTGAGGAATCCCTGTGCCCCCCCTCGACTTCGCAAACTTGAAATGCCCCAAAACACGCCGCCGCCAAGCTTGGTTGATGTTGGAAGGGGAGCAAACACTTCAATTTTAGATAATTTTAGCAGTTCAGTGGGTGGAACTGCTACCACTAAACCACAACAAGCAAAGATTGGCAAAGATGTAAAATGATTCCCATCAACAACCATCCCAACCCGCCCCAACCCAAGAAACCCAGCCACAAAACCCAACCCACAACCCAACCCACAACCCAACCCCCCCAACCAACCAACCCCAACCAACCAACCCCAACCAACCAACCCCAACCAACCAACGCCAACCAACCAACCCCAACCAACCAACCCAACCAACCAAACCAAACCAACCAACCCCAACCAACCAACCCCAACCAACCAACCCCAACCAACCAAACCAAACCAAACAAAAAACAAACCAAACAAAAAACAAACCAAACAAAAAACAAACCAAACAAAAAACAAACCAAACAAAAAACAAACCAGACAAAAACAAACCAAACAAAAAACAAACAAAACAAAAAACAAACCAAACAAAAAAACAAACCAAACAAAAAACAAACCAAACAAAAAACAAACCAAACAAAAAACAAACCAAACAAAAAAACAAACCAAACAAAAAACAAACCAAACAAAAAACACACCAAACAAAAAACAAACCAAAAAAAAAAAAAAAACAAAACAAAAAACAAACCAAACAAAAAACACACCAAACAAAAAACCAACCAAACAAAAAACCAACCAAACAAAAAACCAACCAAACAAAAAACAAACCAACCAAAAAAACAAACCAAACAAAAAACAAACCAAACAAAAAAACAAACCAAACAAAAAACAAACCAAACAAAAAACAAACCAAACAAAAAACAAACCAAACAAAAAAAAAAACAAACAAAACAAAAAACAAACCAAACAAAAAACACACCAAACAAAAAACCAACCAAACAAAAAACCAACCAAACAAAAAACCAACCAAACAAAAACAAACCAACCAAAAAAACAAACCAAACAAAAACATACCAAACAAAAAACCAACCAAACAAAAAACCAACCAAACAAAAAACCAACCAAACAAAAAACTAACCAAACAAAAAACCAACCAAACAAAAAACAAACCAAACAAAAAACAAACCAACCAAAAAACAAACCAAACAAAAAACCAACCAGACAAAAAACAAACCAAACAAAAAACAAACCAAACAAAAAACAAACCAAACAAAAACAAACCAAACAAAAAACAAACCAAACAAAAACAAACCAAACAAAAAACAAACCAAACAAAAAACAAACCAAACAAAAACAAACCAAACAAAAAACAAACCAAACAAAAACAAAGCCAGACAAAAAACAAACCAAACAAAAAACAAACCAAACAAAAAACCAACCAAACAAAAAACAAACCAAACAAAAAACCAACCAGACAAAAAAAACAAAAAAACCAAACAAAAAACAAACCAAACAAAAAACAAACCAAACAAAAAACCAACCAAACAAAAAACAAACCAAACAAAAAACAAACCAAACAAAAAACAAACCAAACAAAAAACAAACCAAACAAAAAACAAACCAAACAAAAAACAAACCAACCAAAAAACAAACCAAACAAAAAACCAACCAGACAAAAAACAAACCAAACAAAAAACAAACCAAACAAAAAACAAACCAAACCATCCAACCAATAACCACGCAGACCCTTCAAAACAGCCGCTGGAAGGCCTCCAAGGCGAGTGCTTCTGGATGGAGGCCTGGACCTTCTCCACGCTCCTTTCTCGCGAGCTGTTTTGCGCGAGAGCTTTGGATCTGGACGCCCATGATGGACGAGACAACACGAAGGGAGCCCATGACATGCCTCCACTTAGATGCCATGCCTCCAGGGTCCAGCATGACAATATGCCTCCACTTAAATGCCATGCTTTGCAATGCCTCCCTTGCCACTGGCCAGTGCTAGCAAGTTTCGGGCCTCTCGTGCACAAGTTTTTCATCAGAAATCAGGGCGTTGGGTCTAGGATATCGATGTGGGACACTGGACACGACCCCTGTTTCAGTGTCCCAAAGCCAAATCCAGTGCTCCTTGTGAAACCTTCTCACCTTTCTCGGGTTGGGCTTTCGCATGTGGTGTGGGTCCTACCCTTCATTTCAGCTGCAGGACCGGGAGAAGCTTCTGGCAAAAATCGAAAGAAGTCCGTGTGCTGAAGCCTGAAGTACTGGCTCAGGTACACGCAATCACCAAATGGTGGATAATGTACATCGTATGACTTGCGCCAGCATTCTCTAATTGTGAAGAAACAACCCTCTCAATGCCTTTCACACTTGACAATGCTGGATAGACTGACTTGAGATTGCCTTGCAGGCATGCTTGACTTTTGCAGTGGCTACTGAGCAGCTGACCTAAAAACATGATGCCGTCAAAAGCCAACACACACACACACACACACGCATCGGCCACGTCGATCCATCAAGCCTGTCACTGCCACCTGGTGCAATTTGATCACCACATGAACAACACGTGCTCGCTCAAAATGTGGGTTCCCGCACTAGTGCAAAGCAAGTCAATCAGCCTAATGGCGACACAACAAAACGCAACCAGCAAAGAACATTGATATCACACAACTCACATGTTCTTTTGTTTCCATCCGAGGAGCAGCCATCAGGTTGCTCCCTTGCGGATACCCAATGGGGATGGGGGTTGGAGGCCAAAATGGTGGCCCTTTTTGGGGCCGCACCTCTTCAAAAAACAGCACGTTGTCACCTTTTGGTGCCTCCAAGAGGGCAATATTGACTTGGGGCGACCCAAAAAGTGTGTCTCTTGTTGGGAACCCCCCTGGCCAGACTTAGATGCCTTCGAAAAGTTGACTTGAACAAAAAGGCAACCAGGGAAAAAGTGCAAAAGCTGAGTTCAGTCTGGCAGCTGCTGGCCTTTGCCGGGCAAACACCTCCACACCTCGCGCCCAAATCCCATCTCCGCGAGGCTCGGCGCGCTCTCGGCGATGCGCCGCAGAAGCTTGCCCGGCATGGTAGCGGCCATGATCTTCTCCGGCCCTTGCATGCGCCAACAGATCTTGACTTATTGATGGAACATGTAGACACACACACACACGCACGCACGCACGCACGCACGCAGACTCAACATTTGTGCACTTCCCTGTCCCTAAGGCCCTGATATCCTCAAAACTTCAAGATTGAACTGGACTGCCACGCAGTCTAGAAAGTCTTCTCATATTCAGCAGATATACTCCTTGGTTGCTGCTGAGCTGCAAAAAGTGAATCACATTTTGTGGGTTCAATTCCAAAATCCTTTTCAGACTTCAACCAAGAACTTGCTGGCGCGGTAAGGGGAATGAGCTTACTGGAATGACCCGAACCAAAAAAAAAGCATCCAACTGGTGGCTTCCAACTGATTCCGGGAACAGCCTGGGTTCATTCCATTTCACATTCCCATCCAGGCGGTTTCCTTTAAGGGGACCCCTGAGCCTGGGTTCATTCAACCACACCCAAAACGACTTCGCGAGCCCATGATCTCAATCAGCTGAGACCCTTCCGAGGTGCTGGTGGATTCCTCCTGGCAGAAGGTGATGGCCGGAGCCGGCTCTAGGCCATCCACCGGCATCCAACCCACCTGGCATGGGACGTGATCCTTTGGCGCGACCTCACGAAGGGACTCGAAGGTCTTGTATTCTGTTGTTGTTGTTGTTGTTGTTGTTGCTGTTGCTGTTGCTGTTGCTGTTGCTGTTGCTGTTGCTGCTGCTGCTGCTGTTGTTGCTGTTGTTGCTGTTGTTGCTGTTGTTGCTGTTGCTGCTGCTGCTGCTGCTGCTGCTGCTGCTGTTGCTGCTGCTGCTGCTGTTGCTGTTGCTGTTGCTGTTGCTGTTGCTGTTGCTGTTGCTGTTGCTGTTGCTGTTGCTGTTGCTGTTGTTGTTGTTGTTGTTGTTGTTGTTGTTGTTGCTGTTGCTGTTTGCTGTTGCTGTGCTGTTGTTGTTGTTGTTGTTGTTGTTGTTGTTGTTGTTGTTGTTGTTGTTGTTGTTGTTGTTGTTGTTGTTGTTGTTGTTGTTGCTGTTGCTGTTGCTGTTGTGTTGCTGTTGCTGTTGCTGTTGCTGTTGCTGTTGCTGTTGCTGTTGCTGCTGCTGCTGTTGTTGTTGTTGTTGTTGTTGTTGTTGTTGTTGTTGTTGTTGTTGTTGTTGTTGTTGTTGTTGTTGTTGTTGTTGTTGTTGTTGTTGTTGTTGTTGTTGCTGTTGTTGTTTTCTTTCTTTTTTTGTTGGGGGGGGGGGGGTGTTTCTTGTTGTCTCGGTATCTGAGCTTTCATCAAGGTTTGTTTCCCAAAAAGCCCTTATGTTTTGGCTTGGCGTCTACTATGTGTGTATATATATATGTATAATATGCATATATATATATATATATGTGTGTGTACATATAGATATATATATATGGTCGGGGTGCGCTATGGTCACCCCCCCCTGCATGACCTACCGTTGTCTTTCAAAAAGTAGGTCATGCAGGGGGGGGGGGGGTGAGCATATATATATATATACACGTATGAGTCTGTGTCAAATTGCTCGTCGAGGGCGGACTCATTGCAACGTGGACATCCCGTATGGCTTCTTCAGGCTTTAAAGCTGGCTCAGGACAACTGTTTTCCCCGAAAGGCTTCCAAGATGAGAATGAGATGTCATGGCAAAGATAGATGTCATTGCTTAGCAACGATCCTCAAGGGAATTTCCAGAACATATTTTGAGCATCTTGATGTTTGGGTTGGAAACATCCCACATCAGACGTCTCTGGCAGAATATTCTGAAGACCCTTTGATGGAAATCATTTACTTAGGGGATTAATGTACCTACCATTTGGAATGATGTACCCATTTCAACAAGATAGCCATGTGCGGGCATGCTTTTCAGGGTACCCTTTTGGGGGTTCGCGTAAAGGGAAACCAAGGAGAAACCACACTCTTTGGGGGTTTCCAAATTTTGCGACAAACTATTATGTGCCTTAAAAGTAGCTCCCCGCTCAAAGTGGTGTTGTTTCCTAAAGGTTTTCCTGAAAAGCCAATCAACTAAAGACTTCCTCGTTTTGAGACATGCCTAAAAAACTATTTCATGATTCCTCATTAAGCCGGAATCTCGGAGGAATACCAGTCCTTGGAAACCGTGTGAGGCTGCCACGCAATGCATTGCCAACAAACCAAGGGCACGCCCTTGCAGCTGTTTCGCCACTTGTCTGTCACTTGTTGCATATGTATTCGAAAGGAAATTGGAAGCGTCCAATGCTGGGAGTAGTTGGCCTGTTCCATTCACTTGCAGAGTGCCATAGCTACCTCCTCTGTCTGTCTGATTCTACATTCTAACATAGATCTTGACAGAAGGCTTCCTGCAAAACATTCAAACCATTTGACAAGAACAAATTTTAAACTCAAAAACGACAGCAGCAACCTATGAAAACATGGTCGCAATATGGCGCCGCCCCCCCCCCCCTCTCATGTTCCCCCTTCCCCTCCCCAAAATCCCGCCTGAGGCGGTAGCACTGTGGCACCGCTGTTGAGGGAGGATCCCACCTCGGCCATGAACCAATTGGCACGAACGCAATGACTGGTTTCCCCCACGAAAATCAGCAGGCGCCCGACTTTTTGTGTGGGAGATTTGGTTGGTTTCCTGGATCTTTTTGTGAAATTTGGGTGAGTTCCCCCATGCCCCCTTCAAATGATAGAACCGACAGTTTGACAAAACCCTCTGGGAACATGGGGCCTACCCTAACCACGGGAGTATGGGGTTCGAGACAAATTGCCACTTAGATGGTCTCCCCACACTTGACAATTCGATTCTACGCCAAAAACCTCGGGAAAAATGGTCCCACACTACCCCAATCAATCCACAAGTGCCGGGAAATGAATTGCGCTGAAACCATCCACGTCCCTAAACTCAGTCAATATTAAGAAACCAGAAATCATCGTGCAACGCGTGGAGGTTCAGTCAACTAGAATGGGAGTACGCCCTGGGGCATGTAAGCGGGGGTGCCTGCAAACTCCCAGGGCACTGGGGAGTCGGCAGGAACCAGTGGGGTGCCACTCTTTTCCCATGCTGCAAGGTTACATGGAATCCAAAAGCGGATCCCAAGAAGAAATCATCCTCTGAACAGGAGAATTCTTTGAAACCGGATGCATCTTAGTCCTCGGGTTGCTAGGGGACTGCCATATGCCAATATCATGCAGATGTGATCAGCTGTTCCACGCGATTGGCCAAACACCGTGACCCTTTCATCCGTTTTGAAGGGGCCAACGGCCCATCCCAAAGGCCCAAGTTGGACCACATGAAAAAAAAAAAACTTGAGAGTCTTGAAGCGCTTGCAAACCAAGCTTTGGCGGTCTCAAGTTAGGGTGTATGAAAAACATATATAAAAATACTGATCCCTGATGGTCTTGGGAAGCAGGGGTGTCATTCAATCTGCCTCGGCCCGCGCCTTGTACAAAGTGCTCGAGGCAGGGTTCCATCTCAGCTTTCCGGGCGCGAAGCTGCCGTTGCTTGACTTCGCCTCAAGCCGACACGCCCAAGCTGCTCCGTTTCCAACCGAATCTTTGGAGTGACCGAATTACATTCGCCCAGCTGGCCTCACCCTCCGGGCCCATTTGATTTTAGCCCGTCTTAACGGATTTTGGAACACGTGCTCTTCGCGCGCTTGCAAAAAAGCCTGAGATGCCATGCGCAGCCAAATCAATAGAAGCAAAGAGTTTGCGACACTTGTGTACCTTCCATTGGAACTTGGACTGATTGCAGCTGCAGTTTTGCTGCTTGGCACGATGCAGCCTCCCCACATCCTAGCTTACCAAGGGCCTTGGAACTGATTGGCTCAGCTTGTGGTTTGCAGGGGGCGGCTCGAGGCAGATCTCTCTGACAGCCCTGGCCAAGCTGCCGTCACATCCTCAAGCGGCTTCTTCGAAACGCTGCCGGCAAGATCCACTAGGCTCCAATCCAGTTCTTCTCCTGGCGGAGCAAAACACTTGCGGAACAACAAAGTGGATCGAGATCGAATTCCGGAGCGTCTGATGATAGGAAGGCGTGTATTTGTTGGTTTGTTTGGTTTTGTTTGTTTGCGTGTCTGTCTGTCCCTTTGCGTGCGTGTGTGTGTGGAGTGTGCGCGTGCATGTGAGCGCGCGCGTGCTTCTGCGGGTGCCTGGTTGCGAGGGTGAGTGTGCGGGTGGGTATGCGTGTGCCTGCGGGCGTGCACGGGTGTGTGCCCGTGTGTAAGTGGAACTACACGCGCCCCTGCGTTGGTTCTGTAGCTCTTGACAGTAAAGCCCTTTGGGGCATCCCTGAAGTGAATTCCAAGTCAAACAGAACTACTGGGGCTCAGGGCACACACAAGTTCACCTGAAACCGCCTTGGTCACGTGGCACGGATCTGTGGCAGGGGCTGGGTGAGGTCATTTGATTGGTTGTTTGCTTGACCTCGCCGTGCATGTCGAGGACCCACACCCTTGAAAGGCTGCATCATCCCAACGAAAATATGATGCGTCAAGCTGGGAACCAGGTTGCGAGCCATCTGGACGTGTCAATCTCATTTTGCCACCCTTGGCTCTCCAAACCCCCAAGCGGCTTCCCCACCACCCTGAAAACATCAGCCCAAAGGGAATCTCACTTGACTTGGCAACTGGTCACATGGTGATCTAGAATTAAACCCCACCCCCCACTTCAACCAGGAGGAAACATATTTCACCCCTTCCTCTGCGCAAAAAGCGCGCGAGACACGCGCGCGCGCGAGACGCGCCTCGTTTCAGCAGTACCAAGCTGGTGCCCCGCTGTTGGAAGACTTCCGCCTTGCCCACCTGGAGGCATCGGATTGGCCCCTCCCTCCTTCCCTTTTGTGGCTGCAGGAAGGGATTTTAAGGGATCAGCCCCTCCCTCCCTGCCCCCCTCGCTGCCTCCCCCCTCCCTCCCTCCCTCCCTCCCTCCCTCCTTCCCTCCCTTCTCCCCCCTCCCTCCTTCCCTTCCTCCCTCCTTCCCTCTCTCCCTCCTTCTCTCCCCCCCCCCCCCGCAGGGCGAGGTTTTCCTCACCTGGGCAACGTGCCCAAGTTGCTTGCTTGGAACGGAGGGTCCGGAATGCAGACTCGCCTGAGATTGAAGTCTGGCATACTCTCAGGTTTGGGGTGCAGGTGGCACAAACAATCATAAGGCAGCAGAGCAGCATGAGGGGGGAACAACAACCATTCACCAGCCTCAAACAATGGCCGCAAACCAAAACCTGAGATTGAGTTTGCCCAGAAAGCATGGGTCCGCCAGAAGCTAGGCCACAGGCCCAGGGCTTACACCTCCCTGACTTCAGACCAGGGCTCCCTAGGCTCATGAAAATGAGAGTCGAGTGAGAAGACATGTATTATATTCTCTACGCTACCATTCCCTCTGGCATCTTACACGGGTAGGCTGTGTCAAACGAGCCAAGCCGTATGAGAAAGGACAGTTCTTAACGGGAAAGCCCATCATCTGGATGGGAACTCACTCTGCCCATCATGAGGATGTGTAACAATGCCATTCTGTCGATTGGCGGGCTCTGCGTTTCCAAAACCGAACGGCATAGACAGAACAACTCCAAACATCGGCAGCCAATAGACCAGTTTGCTAGGGCTGCCTAAGGCAACCTCCTCGTTCGTTGGAGCGATCGGTTCATTCCAGACGAATTCTTCGAGTGCGACAACTTCTGGGAGATCATTGACACTGTTCATGCCCTACGACTTGCTAGCTGGAAGCCATGTCTATCTGTTTTCTCCAAACTGTGGCAGGCGTCAAGCTCCTTGCAACGACTTGGCTGATCCACTGGATGTGTCAACCACTTCTGCTCCAGCCTTGAACCCCGTCCGCACATAGATGCCGTTTGCTGCTTCCGTGCCCGCCCCTTCCACAGAGATGCCAGGAACACTTTCTGGCCTGACTCAGGTTACGATCAGTCAACCAGCCAGTGAGAAAGCCTGCCAATCAAACAAACACAACCACAATCACAACCACAACCACACCCACAACCGCAACCACACCCACAAACACAAACTCAGTCCACGCAAATACCAGCCGCGCAGCAAACAAAACCACAATCACAACGCAGTACAACACAGGACAGCGTACAAACAAAACAACAAACACAAAGCAAAGGAAACAAAGACACAAGCCAAACAACAAGCCAACAATCAACCAAACAAACCAGTGAACTGAGCCATCAATCAAACAAGCAAGCAAGCAAGCAAGCAGGCAGGCAGGCAAGGAAGCAAGCAAGCAAGCAAGCAAGCAAGCAAGCAAGCAAGCAAGCAAGCAAGCAAGCAAGCAAGCAAGCAAGCAAGCAAGCAAGCAAGCAAGCAAGCCAACTACAAAGCAAACATATATCATACAATTTACCATCCAATCCAACGACACAACCAACCAACCAACCAACCAACCAACCAACCAACCAACCAACCAGCCAGCCAGCCAGCCAGACAGCCAGACAGCCAGCCAGCCAGCCAGCCAGCCAGCCAGCCAGCCAGAAATCCAGCCAGAAATCCAGCCAGAAATCCAGCCAGAAATCCAGCCAGCCAGCCAGCCAGTCAGTCAGCCAGCCAGCCAGCCAACCAAGCAACCAAGCAACCAAGCAACCAAGCAACCAAGCAACCAAGCAACCAAGCAACCAAGCAACCAAGAAGCCAGACAGGCAGGCAGGCAAGCAAGCAAGCATCGACGCAAACAAGCCACAAGCAGGCACACAAGCAAGCAAACACAAAAAAACACGCCCGTTCAAGTCCCCACCCTCTTGCAGGGTAAACCCTGCTTGCGTTCAAAATATAGAGTCGGCCTGGGGGGTTGCTGGCGCGGGACTAGCAGGAACTCAGCTTGCACAAGGAAAAACTCTTCTGAAATCTGAGATCCTATCCAATCAGTGGTACAGAACGGCCACTTATGTGCCACAAACTGCAAATCTCCCGCTCCAAAGCAGGTGCCGGGGTCTTTCGTAACGGTTGGTGTCATGTTGGGTTCAATCTAAACAGCGACCAAAAGGGGAAACCGCCAGCCGAATATCCGAGCAGTAGAAGCAAGACCACACACGGTGAGCGAGTCGCCTAAAAAACGAACGTGCATCCTATTCGACTGCTAACCAGGTGACTTCAAGAGACAGGGGGCTAACCTCCAGCCCCACTGCAAGGATTTCGATGGCAGCCAGTTTCGCTTTGTCAGACTTTGGAAGTTCAAACCAACTTTCAAGACATTTGAATGCGCGAAGGGGGTGTCAATGTCCCCTTCTATGCCTTCATGTACCTCCACTACAAGCCACGAGTCAACTCAAACTTTTACAGTCGGAGGGAAAAACAGAGCCAAATGTTCTAAGCAACAAGAGCTGTTGAAGGCTGACTCACTTGGTGAAACATGCAATGCTGCGGTGGTTCCGGCCTCTTCTAGGAAAGCAAAACGGCAAAAAAACGGCGCAACGTAAAGAAGCAATGCAATGCCTCTATACTGTGCGCAAAGAAGGAACAACTCAGCCACTGCAGCAAAGGAGCAAGGCTTGCCTCCGCACAGGGGCCAGAAGCGACTGAGAGGCTCGCATGAGGCAACAACTACCCTGAGCGCTCAGAGGTACTGCGTCGTAAGCCAGTGTTGATATGTGGGGAATCGTTTCCAAGGATTCCGCGATGGGCTATGGATATCCTTCAAGCACAGTATGGAAGAATGCCTAGGGCTGGATCGAAAGTCTCTTACTGCCAGCTGCTCTGTGAAGGCATGCATCCATGCAGGGACTGCCGTCTGAATTGATGCCAATCGCGATCGCGAAGTCACCTCGGTGCATTGTGAGTGAGTATTTTTTCTTCAGTGGACCCCCGCCCCATCCTGGTTTTGCTTTTGTTTTCCTCTTAAAACCAACCGACAACAGGTACCCTCGAAAAAGAGAGCGAGAGCCACATGCGATGAGGAGACTCCTTGTTGAGCTTGAATGTTCCACGAGGTTTCCTTGTGTATTTGAGGCAAAGCTTCAGTCAGATCCGGGTCTACGCCTGAGGCAGCCTCTAAGACATGATCCAACATTACGGCTGCTCGGGCAGATAGGCAACGCAAAGCAAATGGAAACCACAGGATAGAAAAAGGAAAAAAACACGAAGGAAGCTTGACCAACATCTACATTATTTTAAATGGTTCAACATTGCAACATACGATACACCTTTGAACTGAATCTGACATGACTCACCACGCTGTCCAAGCACCAGAGTAGACTAAAATAAGCATGCTGAATGCTTGGACATTTGCAGGAACCTGCATAAACAACTCAACCACCCTTGTGGAAACAGACATGTCGAAATCTGCTCGTCATGCCAACATTCATGGAGGGATGTGGAAATTATGTGAGCACATCTGGCACATGATCTGATCTATACATGTACTGTGTCTGCCACTACCATTCCTTAGGAAAGTGTGTTGCACAATTCGAAAACAATCAATCCGCACGCTCCGAGGACATGCATGCTTAACTCTGCAACTAGTCACACACAGGCCGCAAAATGGTCTTCTGCGCCGAATGAGCTTGTCTCCAAACATGGGAACTCCCAACATGAGCGTGTTCCACTCGGATTCCCTTCAAACACGCCCGAAAAAAAGAGTCAACTCCAAAAAGCCACTGTTTGGACACCCAAGCGCAAGTGTATCAGGTTTGTCTGCTTGTTTGAAATAACATGGGTAGAATCACCCCACTGGATTCATCATACTCGATTTGTCCAAATCGGAAAAAAAGGCAAGGCCGAACACTCCCCCAAAAGACATGGACGTATATATGCAACCCCCGCAAAGACCCTGGTTTTGGTACCTTTTAGTGACGATAAATCTAGAATCTAGAGATTTAAATTCTCGAAGGTAGTAGATGAGCAGGGGCGGACAGGGAGTTTGGTGACGGTGTGTGAACATAAAAACATACCATATACATATATGTATATACACACATACATACAAACATCTAGTACCCCTCATGATCCTGCGCCTCTTCATAGAATGCTGAAAAATATAGTGTGTTCAGCATTACACCTAGCTTTACCTCCTGGAAAAGGGTCAACATGAGCATAGCCTACATGAAGCAAAATGCTCACCAAAAGCACTTGAAAGTCTGTCAAAGAACTTGAAAGTGCTTCTACTGGATCGCTCTTCATTTGAAAGTATTTTACCACTTGATTGAAGATTCAAGACTGAAGATTACACAGAAAACTTTCGTGAAAATCGTCAATCCGGGCCAAAGCCAAACAACATTCAAGTTCTTCTAGCACTTGAAAGTGCTTTACCACCGGATTGAGGATTCACAATTGAAGATTGCACAAACAACTTTCCTGAGAATCGTCAATCCCGGCCAACCCCAACACACTTTCAAGTTGTTCTAACACCTCGAACGCATTTTACCACTGGGTTGAAGATTCAAGATTGAAATCTTTCACAGAAAGCTTTTCCGAGAATCTTTTGTCCTCTCACTTTGAATCCACCCACTGAGGGAACTTGGAGGGTTGCAGATTAAATGACCGCAAATGGGTGCGCACAGTTGGTTGCAAAAGTATGTATGTATTCAGCACCTAGTTCAAGATTCCCAACAATAGTTTTCTCTGATTCTTGAGTCTTAAATCTTGCATCCCGGATTATTAGCAGTACTATTAAAAAGAAAAGAGTGGTCCCAATACTCTGAGATGCACGCACACTCTGTCAGACGGCAGACGCCGATATCAAAACCTCCATTTGCTTAAGTCAGCTGCAAACAAAGAGCATCCAGTAGCCATAGATTCCCTTTGAAACCATCGGATCATGAATCATATTAAGCAAGTTGCAGAAAGGGTTCTCAGGCATAGGCGTCCTTTTAGGGGAAATAGATGGCCCTGGTAGATGATTAAACCACCAGGTAAACCAGGGCCATCTATTTTTCTACCAAAACAACCGAAAAGGACACCTATGTTATCAGGTCTGGGCTGAGAAAGGCATACTGTCAGCCGAGTGGCCTTCGGTGACTCGCACTCGCCCGCATCGCTGGCTACTCCCTGTTCAGCCCGAGGCAGGAAGGAATCGGCAGCCTTGGGACATTTCCTGGGTGATTAGATGATTTTCCATTCTCTGTCCCCTCGGGTTTCTCCCACGTTCTAAAGAAAAGGATGCTTGAAGCGAATGGGAAGGGTACAGTTCAAGCATTGCGAGTGCTGGGAAAGCCTCAAACATGTAGCCCTTTTATCGACTCGACAAAGGGGTCACCACGGTCACCAAATTACGGACAACCGTATTTGTCCTTCCAGCTGTTTTGACCTCTTTGCCCATGGCGGATCACAAGGAACCTTTGCATTCAGGCAAAAACAGCTCGAAACAAGCAGGTGTGAACATTGGCGCTTGATGGACGACAGCAAAACGGATTTCCACTTTGTGCATATTGGTTGTCTCTCATTCTATCTCTCGCTCTCTCTCGCTCGCGCTCTGTCTCAAAACAGGTATCATTGATCATATAAGCCGTTGTCAAAACTCCGCCTAGACTCTTGCAGTTGCATCCCCTTCAAGGGCTGAATCCGCAGCTGAGCCCGCATAGTAATCATATCTTCTGACCACTAAATGCTTAGAGAATAAGGGACCCGCAGCCCCAGCAATCGAAAAAGGGACAAATCCGCAGATCTGTGTCTAGAGTCGATCAAAGCACCTCCCCACCGCCCTGCCAACCGGAGACAGCGTTTGGTCACCCCTCGGGGGGCGATGAGCTCTCGCGCATGGGCACGGGGCCTCAAAGCAGAAGGAACCCCATCGCGTGGCTGGCCAGGGTCTCCTTTTCACCCCTTCATGAGGAAGCTAAAGCCCGCAACTATCACCAGCCACCCGTGACCGGGCATCAGGAATATCAGATGGATGGCCAGTTTACGCCGTGAAACATATATATATATATATATATGTATATATATATATTTACATCTTGCGGGGGTTGATCAAAAGGTCCTCTACATCACAACTTTACGAGAGTAGCACAAGAACTAAACTTTCGCAGCCCCGGCTCGAAAGTCAAAACTTTTCAATACGATAGTACACGCACTAAACTTTCCGCAGCCCCAGCTCGAAAACCGTAACCTTTTGAGTTCCCAAGTAGCACGCGATCCACAGCGCCAGCTCACAAGCCGCGCGAGGGCACCCATGTGGGAGGTCCATCGACTTTCGCGAAACTGTCGCGGATCTTACGCCAAACATTTGCAAAAATCCGGGGAAAGTTGCACTAAACTTGACCCGAAGCTTCAAAACTCACACATGCTGATTTCTGCTGGGGGTTGCTTTTGCAGTGGCGTATTCTTGCAGCGGCCCTCGGGCGGCGACCAACTTTAGTCTGTGCATTCTGCGCGCTGCCGGCATACAAGGACCTTTCGGACAACTCTCACATATAACCAGTATAGAATGTACATACATACATATATATATATATTATGCAAAATACCGTGAAAAGGCGTGTGTAATATAGCCATGCATGAACCATCTGGCCAAGGCTCACTTAAACAATGATATGATGTGCCGCACACACCCCTCAACAAACACCCGACCGCAAACAATAGCCAAATACATCAATACTGGATTCAACCATGCAGTTGCCTTTCGCTACAATTATTATAGTATGCTTTCTGCTCAGACGCCCATGCCTTGCCTTTTTAGCGGATGCAAATCTATGGACCACAGACAGCGATTCAAAGCCGGAGATCCGGCCTCGAAAGTGGCCATCAGCGGCGGATCGCATGAAGCTTCCCGTCATGAAAAAACCACGGCGAACGGTCTGTTAGCGTGCCGAAACGATCCTTGGGCTAGAGTCACTTCCACCTGCATCCCGATCTGGATCCATTTAGGTGTTTGAGGAAAACCTTGCCTTTGCTGCGCGGCTAAAGCAAAGGAAGCAAAGCTCTCTTACTGCAAACCAGGATGAGTTGGCTGCGGCATCTGTTTGCTCTATGCACTGGAGCCATGGCACAGGCCACCTGGATCAGGAGTTGCCTGGATGCATCAGGCCAGATGCGGAGCTGCTTGCAACCAGCAAATGACCCGACCGCTTGCTGGTTCGGCCGAAAAAAGTCGAGGACAAGTCCCAAATGATGATGGCTTCAAAGAGGGGTGTCCAACTTTGACGGAACCCAAAGGGTAGCTCAAAGGCACGGCCATTTACTTGCAGTGCCCACGCCACCTTTTCCCGGTCAGCGCCAAGCAGATTCTCCGCGGAGATTCTACGTCGCGGCGACCGGCACAGCTGCTTCTATCAGGCATCGCTCCTACAGGATCAGCACATTGTCAAATTTCAGATTCATGGGGAAGACTGT